TCAACATGCGCAGAGGAACTCTACTTCAACCTCCTTAAAGGGCAGAAACCCTGATTTTCGTCAACCTCATGCCATGGAGCGTGAAAGACCCTGAACATCCACACAACTCCAACCCCACCTTAGACTCGAACTTGGCCGCCATTTCCTGATATCCTTTGGCCCTGCGCCGGAGTGTACGAATATAAGGGTTCGGGTCCACGCCTCCGCCCTCCTGGCTACCGTCCTTGTTTCCGGCTCCCGGATTCCCAGCCGACGCCCCGCCTCCACCACCTCCCTCTGCCGCGCCGGCACCGTTCGCTGCCCCCCCGCTCGACTCTCCCCTTCCCGTCTTCCCACCGACGCCCAACCCCCCTCCCTGCTCCGTAGGTTTTGGCCGGGACGCCGCCGCCGCTTTCGCTTTCCTCCTTCTTTCATCGGACTCTTCATCCTGGCAACAGGCAAGGCGGAAGGAACAAAGAAACGGTCCCGAAAAAAACGTGTGCTGAAATCCGGACACCGTGTACATACTGCAACCCCCCACGAAGTAAGTGCCAGGCGCCACCGAAAATGAACACTGTTGCAGCCAACTCCCTTACTACGCGGTCCAGAGTCGGTGTCTCACCACGCATTTCTTGTAGGCTTCCTTGTCGGCTTCAGCTGCCGCCTGGGCAGACGCCAACGGGACCTACCGAGGCGCAAAGGATGGACGTCGAAATCGGGTGTTCGATTTGGATAGCCGAATGGACATCCCACCACAATTTAGTTGCTTCGTCAGGTTACTGAGAGCGTTTGGCGCTGAATGCGGTGACAAAGCGCCAAATCTACGCCCAACAAGAAGACACCGTCCTTACTAATGGAAAATCCCACCCAAACGAAACGCTCACAGGCGAGCTCTNAGCTTCAGCTGCCGCCTGGGCAGACGCCAGCGGGACCTACCGAGGCGCAAAGGATGGACGTCGAAATCAGGTGTTCGATTTGGATAGCCGAATGGACATCCCACCACAATATAGTTGCTTCGTCAGGTTACTGAGCGCGTTTGGCGCTGAATGCGGTGACAAAGCGCCAAAGCTACGCCCAACAAGAACACACCGCCCTTACTTATGGAAAATCCCACCCAAACGAAACGCTCACAGGCGAGCTCTTGTACCAAATCTGAAAAATCTGGTGGCACACGTTACAACTCACGAAGTAGTTGCCTGTCAGTAGTGCGTGGTAATCCTCGCGCTTCTTGCACATGTCGCTGGCCTGGACGTGCGGGGGGGTCCGGGGACAGAAAACGAGAGGTCCTAGGTCAACAGGGATTTGAAGAGGCCTGCAAAGACAGCAACAACTGCCTTCGTACCGTACTGGTGACACCGCTCAACAACTGAGTACCATCGGCCGCGAACTGTCAAAACCAAACAACAACCCCGACCAAACCTTGCCCTAACATGAGTCGGTTTATTCCCACCTCCTTGANCCTGCAAAGACAGCAAACAACTGCCTTCGTACCGTACTGGTGACACCGCTCAACAACTGACTACCATCGGCCGCGAACTGTCAAAACCAAACAACAACCCCGACCAAACCTTGCCCTAACATGAGTCGGTTTATTCCCACCTCCTTGAAGGCGGTCTTCACCACCGCGAGGAGAGTCTCCTCCTGCCCCGGCACCTGTTGAGCTTGTGCCAGTGCCACTGCCACCTGCGCATCATCGCGGGTCTGCCATGCAGTCTGCCTCAACTGCGCAGACGCCGCAACGGCCGACGCGTGCGCTGTGGCGGCGTTTCCGGAGGACAGCGACACCCAGTGATTCAGCTCGGGCAGGTGCAGCATGCGCTGGGCCCGCCAACCTGCCGCGTCCTCGAAATTAGGCCGATATTCCGCAGATGAGGCANTTCGTGGGTCTGCCATGCAGTCTGCCTCAACTGCGCAGACGCAGCAACGGCCGATGCATGCGCTGTGGCGGCGTTTTCGGAGGACAACGACACCCAGTGATTCAGCTCNCCGGAGGACAGCGACACCCAGTGATTCAGCTCGGGCAGGTGCAGCATGCGCTGGGCCCGCCAACCTGCCGCGTCCTCGAAATTAGGCCGATATTCCGCAGATGAGGCAATCGTTGAAACCACATGGACTGCTGGGCGTGGCGGCCCAGAGCTGTNGGAAAATAGGTCGATAATCCGCAGATGAGGCAATCGTTGAAACCACATGGACTGCTGGGCGTGGCGGCCCAGAGCTGTAGAGCGGTCGGAAGAGGGTGTGATACCACGTCGCTCCATATGCGTCCGAAAGGCTGCGGTCTGCGTCAAAATGGACAACAGAAAAAGGCCGACGGCCGAACAAACCGAAGTGAGGCAAGGTGTTGAACTGGTATGGGTATGCACACGGCACGGCGAAACATTGTACACGCCCGAAGATACGGAGACGAACTTTAACAATGCCAGACACCTGAACGCTGCGGCCAATACACGACCGCAATGAATGGCACGGGGCATTACAAGCTGCTTTTTGAGTGGCGTAATCTTGTTCCAGTGTACCGTCGTAAATCCCAACACGAACGCAACTTGAGAGGAACACCAAACTCACTTCAAATGCACCTACGTTTGACGTTCAACCTCCGTCAACATAAAAACCAACTTNTTGTACACGCCCAAAGCCCCCAAAGATACGGAGACGAACTTTAACAATGCCAGACACCTCAACGCTGCGGCCAATACACGACCGCAATGAATGGCACGGGACATTACAAGCTGCTTTTTGAGTGGCGTAATCTTGTTCCAGAGTGTACCGTCGTAAATCCCAACACGAACGCAACTTGAGAGGAACACCAAACTCACTTCAAATGCACCTACGTTTGACGTTCAACCTCCGTCAACATAAAAACCAACTTACATGGAAGGAAGACACGCAGGGGGGTCTGTATGAGAGTGGCCAGGATCGGGAAGACGAACTGCTGGAGCCATCTACGGTTCTGGGCGGTGTGGCGGAGCTGTGCAATGAACATCAGCCTCGCGCACTGACGAGACCCGACGCGCATCTTGTTGTCAAGATCCGGCTCGATCTTCCACCCCGACTTCGGCAGCTCGTCACGCACTTCATCCCCGTAGTTCGACCAATCCATGAAGAAATCTTCTTGCACGGATAGGTGTGCCTCGATGTGCCGCAACCCTTCCAGGACGATGGCCAGGCGTAGCTTCGCGGCGAACGTCTTGACGTCGTTCCTGATCCTGCGCGCTTTCTTCACCACGAAAAGCTGGGTCACGGCGTTCAGAAGGCAGTTGCCATCACCCTCGGTGATGAAGGGGGTGCCGACGCCGCAGCCATCTACAGGCGGTACGCCTCGCAGAAGGGCTTCCGTGAAGTAGTCGATGCAAAGGTCTTTGTCTCTCAGCTCTGATGATGTCTGTGCGGCCATGATAAGGAACGATAATGACCAAATAGCGTAGCTTTTCAGCCACATATGCACACCTCCGTCCCTGTCAGTGTCTCGGGAANGTGCCTCGATGTGCCGCAACCCTTCCAGGACGATGGCCAGGCGTAGCTTCGCGGCGAACGTCTTGACGTCGTTNATGCCTCGATGTGCCGCAACCCCTCCACAGGACGATGGCCAGGCGTAGCTTCGCGGCGAAAGTCTTGACGTCGTTCCTGATCCCGCGTGCTTTCTTCACCACGAAAAGCTGNTAAGACACGCAGGGGGGTCTGTATGACCGTGGCCAGGATCGGGAAGACGAACTGCTGGAGCCATCTACGGTTCAGGGCGGTGTGGCGGAGCTGTGCAATGAACATCAGCCTGACGCACTGACGAGACCCGACGCGCATCTTGTTGTTAAGATCCGGCTCGATCTTCCACCCCGACTTCGGCAGCTCGTCACGCACTTCATCCCCGTAGTTCGACCAATCCATGAAGAAATCTTCTTGCACGGATAGGTATGCCTCGATGTGCCGCAACCCCTCCACAGGACGATGGCCAGGCGTAGCTTCGCGGCGAAAGTCTTGACGTCGTTCCTGATCCCGCGTGCTTTCTTCACCACGAAAAGCTGGGCCACGGCGTTCAGAAGGCAGTTGCCATCAACCTCGGTGATGAAGGGGGTGCCGACGCCGCAGCCATCTATAGGCGGTACGCCTCGCAGAAGGGCTTCCGTGAAGTAGTCGATGCAAAGGTCTTTGTCTCTCAGCTCTGATGCTGTCTGGGCGGCCATGATAAGGAACGATAATGACCAAATAGCGTAGCTTTTCAGCCACATACCTCCGTCGCTGTCATGTGTCTCTTGATTACCTAAACTATTCCGACAGGTTTAGGATTGTTGTGCCGATTGTATATACTCGAAGTAGTTACTACTACGTCTNCTGTCTGGGCGGCCATGATAAGGAACGATAATGACCAAATAGCGTAGCTTTTCAGCCACATACCTCCGTCGCTGTCATGTGTCTCTTGATTACCTAAACTATTCCGACAGGTTTAGGATTGTTGTGCCGATTGTATATACTCGAAGTAGTTACTACTACGTCTATACTTCTAGAAATATAAATAAGATTTCAAGAATTCTGAAAGGTGAAAGGGTCTGATGGTGTCAGTTTCACGATGAGATACATCTTGGAGATCATATGCCCACTGTAGGTTCTATTTCTTCTTCTAAAAGTGTTCATCGCGATTTTTTTTTCCTCGGCACTTGTTCCCCCTTTTGTTTCCGGGCTCGTTCCTTCCTTTTTTGGCCCTCCTTTTTTCCCCTTTTGTATTATTTTTCCTATTTTGTTCTTTCATTTTTGTAATTTGTCCGCGTTTTGTTGCAGCGACGCGCGTCTACTCCCGCACGAACAATGAGCCATATGCTGCGATTGCAAAGGTACCGACGCACGTCTTGGGGTTCCTAGGTTCCAAGTGCTCACCTTCGATGGGGACGTCAGAGGATTGCTGAGGATGGGGTCAGTCACCTTCGANGTTGCAGCGACGCGTGTCTACTCCCGCACGAACAATGAGCCATATGCTGCGATTGCAAAGGTACCGACGCACGTCTTGGGGTTCCTAGGTTCCAAGTGCTCACCTTCGATGGGGACGTCAGAGGATTGCTGAGGATGGGGTCAGTCACCTTCGACGCACGCAGTTTCGCTGTCTTCAGCTGCGGCTGCTCCACCGCGATGCCATGTGTGTCCCCTCCCCGGTTGTTCAGGACTGCTCCAAGCGCGTCCTTTAATTCCGATAGCTTGGCGTAGAAGGGGTTCCCCGTCGACGAGTATTGGTTGCTCGTCCTACTTCTCGCCGACATTGTTGCCCGTGGGCCCTTGCCCGTGTGCATGTACGTGTGAGGATGCGCATATTTTTCCATATTTTTAACTTTTCAAAAAAGGGGCGTACCTTGCCGTGGTGGCGGACCATCCCTCGATATATCCAAATATCAGAATACGGTGCCCCCGCGAGCTTTTTCCAACTTTTTCCCCACTACTCATTTTTGCAGTTTGTCCTCCCCATCCGACGTGCGCGATCGCCGCAAGACGATTTTTTGCCGCGGCCACAGTTGGAATAGTAATAAGTAGACTGTGCTGTAAGGATACGTAGATATTTGTTTTCGACCAGCACATACACATACGACCCAGCACATACATCCTCGCTGAGCTTGTCTTCATCTACCTGACGCCTTAGCCCACACTCCTTTGCGATCCATCTCGGTCTTTCTAAAGACCCAGTGGTAGCTTAGGTGTGCCTAGTGTTAAGTTGGCTCTTGTGCTATTGTGCCGTAAAAGTTGCGTGTCGATTGGTATCCTNGGTGTTTAGTTGGTTCTTGTGCTACTTAAGCACCGAAAAAGTTGTTGCGTGTCGATTGGTATCCTGTGCGCTGAGATCAAAGGGCGATCTCGTAAACAATATAATAGTAGCTTTTTACGACACCGCCCTACAGCGCCACCGTGCCCCCGTGGGAGAGCATATCTCCGCAACCACCGGTCAGATGGACATTCCCGATGGCCTCAACAATAGCGGGGCTACGGTGCCACCGTGCCTCCGCGGGAGAGCATATTTCGACAACCAATGGTCGGATGCACGTCCCTGATGACGTGTATGACACCTGTAGGTCATAGCCACACAACACAATTTGTTTNAACAATATAATAGTAGCTTTTTACGACACCGCCCTACAGCGCCACCGTGCCCCCGTGGGAGAGCATATCTCCGCAACCACCGGTCAGATGGACATTCCCGATGGCCTCAACAATAGCGGGGCTACGGTGCCACCGTGCCTCCGCGGGAGAGCATATTTCGACAACCAATGGTCGGATGCACGTCCCTGATGACGTGTATGACACCTGTAGGTCATAGCCACACAACACAATTTGTTTTGTGCCAATTGAAGTTCTGTGGACTGAGATACGGGCGATGGCGTATACAAGCTTAGACTATTTACGCCACCGCCCTACGGTGCCACCGTACCCCCGTGGGAGGGTATTATATCTCGGCAACCACTGGTCGGATGGACGTTCCCGATGGCTTGAACGACGGCTACGGAGTTTAGTCAACCAGCACAGTCTGTTTGACGTCTATTGGAGCTCTTGCCGCGGAGTTTCGGTAGAATATGTGGTTGGTGCCCACCTTTTGATGCCACCGTGCCTCCGTGGGAGAGCATATTTCGACAACCACTGGTCGGATGCACGTCCCCGATGACGTGTATGACGCCTGTAGGTCATAGCCACACAGCACAATTTGTTTCATGCCAATTGAAGTTCTGTGGACTGAGATACGGGCGATGGCGTATATAAGCNTTTTGATGCCGCTGAGAACCCTTTTTCGAGCATTCCTCTCCAACTACCCAGTAGATTTTGCTTCAAATTGGCTTGTATGATTGCTGTGGGTCATAGCTACACAACGCAATTCATTTTNCTGAACGATGGCTACGGCGTTTAGTCAACCAGTACAGTTTGTTTGACGTCGATTGGAGCTCTTGCCGCGGAGTTACGGTGGAATATGTGGTTGGTGCCCACCTTTTGATGCCGCTGAGAACCCTTTTTCGAGCATTCCTCTCCAACTACCCAGTAGATTTTGCTTCAAATTGGCTTGTATGATTGCTGTGGGTCATAGCTACACAACGCAATTCATTTTGTGCCAATTGAAGCTCTGTGGGCTGAGATACGGGCGGTGACGCATATAAGAAATAACGCCACCGGTGACGTAAATAGAATTTCCCTGACTGTATGGCATGGAGGAATACTCACTGAAAACAGAGCTCGAAACATCGGTCGCTTTCGCTGCTGGTTTTTCCCTCTGGTTGTCTCCAATACCGAACCATTTTCCGCTTCGGTACATGCGTCTGGGAGCAGACGCGGGACAATCTGAAGAAGGAGATCGCCGGCTCCCTCCTCGTCAAGGTTAGCCTAAACGTTTGTGATTCTTCGCGTTCTCCTACGTGTTGTATTGCCTTTCTCTTCTTTTCACGCAGGCCGCGAATACGCGGATGTTTGTCTGGAAGGACTCATTCACCGCCCGAAACATTGGCGCACAAGCGTTGGTGGCCTTGGACTTGTTTTTGATTGTTTGGAGGAACTCGACAACAACGAAGGATAAATAACCCCTCTCCATGTTTGCCGTGCGTGCCCTCCCCCCCCCTCTCAGCCTCGCCACACACACACGCTCGCTCCTGGAACGCTCTTCGTACAGATACAGCAAAAATTGATGCATGCAAGTTTTTGCGGCCCCTGCTTACAAGTACGTCTCCCGCACCTCCATTTTAACAGGAAGACCTTGCCAGAGAAGTACCATCGCCGAAACCAATCCGCGGCAAGACTCTGGAATAGAGGCAAGCCATTGATGGAAGCCGGCTCAACGTGAAACCGCTACTACCACTGCTGTGACTTGGTACGTATACACCGCTGGATGTTTGATGGAGAACGAATCCATTGCAACCCTGAATCCCACACCGAGGTGGCGGTGAGATTAAGCCGGCCAGAATGTTTCGACCGACTCTTTGGACTTGAACATATACCCACTGGAAAACTACCCGGTTTGTGCCCACCCCGGATATTGGCTGTGGGATCTTCACCCTCCGTGACCGGCATTCACCCTACTTTGGTGCCCCTCCTACGGTAACATTTGTCCCCAGAACAATCTTCCTTGCTGTCGTTGAACGATTGTTTCCCGAGATTGATCGCAACCTTTTGGTCGAGTTGGCCCGGTGCAAGGCTCCTGATTTCTGTCGGTCGCTTCCCTCGTTTCAATCGAATGGATGCCATTCATTGCCGTAGTTGTGTAACCTGTCCCCCCCCTCTCTTGTACCTCGTTGCCCATTGCTCCGTTCGTGTGCACCGAGCAGAACGATACGGTGTCCACAGAGTTCGACGATGCTGGCAGATGCGCGGCGTCTGCTTCTGTCGCCCCCAATTGACGCCAGAAGACGGGTGAATTGTGCCATGATCGTGAGTTGTGCAGTGCCTACTGCTTGTGTCAAGCTGTGTCGTGGTTGTTGTGCTCGTTCAAGTACATAGATCTGGCGTATGGGTCGAAGGTAGCCGCCACGTATTCAAGAGAGTACTGCTCGGTTAGTACATAGATTTGAGCGCACGAGTCGAAGATTGCCGCCACGTAGGCACGAGACTACGACTGTATGGTATGGAGGAATACTCTCAACGTAGTGCTGGCAAAACTTCGGCCGCTTGCGTTGCTGGCCTTTCTCTCTGTTTTTGTCCACATATCCGACTCGTCTCACGGTTTGGCATATGCATCTGGGGAGTAGACACAGGATGATCGGAAGGCGATCGGGATCGCCGGCCCACCAGACTCCCTCCTCGTCAAGGTTTGTCAACATACATGCTTCATCTTTGCAATCTCAAGCATTCAGTATAGCTTGCATCATTGCTGCTCGTTCACGCAGGCCGCAGACACGCACACTATCAGAAGGAGACCCCATTCGAAACTTTACATATTTATATTTTTACGGAACTCGGCAACAACATAGACAAGTAGTCCCAGTCCATGTTAGTTGTGCGTGTCCCCTTCCCTAGTCAGCCTCACCTCAAGAGTTGGCTCCTAATACGCTCTTGTTAGACCCAGTATTTTGAGGTATTACTACCGTTAGCGCCCACTTGATGCCTTGGCAGTTCAGAAATTGAGCCTCGAAAACCTCAAAATCGAAGAACTTGATCACCATTTGTAAGTTCGATTAAGAATCGCTACACTGAAACCTCATTCAATGCATGACCCTTGGAACTAAGAACCCTAGCATCGGCCAAAACTAGAGGTTCTTAGGTGCGGGCGCTAACTGCAGAGAACATGCGCGCCTTTGAATATTTCTGCTCCTTCTTCCCCCTCGCGCCTCTTCTTCCACACGAGGGCCTCGGCAGGCGAACAACGTGGCCGGCAACAATACCGGTCGCTACTCCGAGGTGGAGGTAAGCTTTCGTCCGGGCTTCGGGGCTATCATACATAGGGCACCATTGGATCATGACGATGTACGACTTGCGTAACGATCCGTTTAGGCAAGGCGGCGTTTTTCGCAGCGAAATAATATTAGCCGACGTTCTCAGTTCACTTACTCGGCATGACACGTCACGAACGCAACTGCAACCTCGCCTTGGCTCACGACATGAAACTACGGCCGCTACAATATTGCGGTGGAACTCCCAGCGTACTCCATGCGAAACCCGTTCCTCTGTTAATTGGGTGCAACCTCAACGTAAAAGAACCTCTGCAGCTGTCCGGGACGTCCGTTCGACGTCACCACCTGTTCTTTCGCGCGAGGTTTCCGCTCGCCTCTCTTCCGGCCAGAGACGGCACCAAAGTGCCTTAGGCAGTGGCGGCCGCGCCCTGCAGCTGAGACGGCCACGGGGAATGCGATCTCAAAAAACCAGCAGCTCAAGGTGAGAGAGGGCGACAGTTGCGTACATACATACTGTCAGGAACCAACGATCGATCTTGCATATCTGATCGGCTTAGACCGACGTCTTCTCATCGATCGGTGGGTTAGCGCAGCGAAACAAAATGTTGCCCCACACGCACATTCACGACTGAGTCATTTTTTTTTCCCTAAAATGACCTTGTTCGGTCAGCAGGCGGTTTGCGTGGTCGGTGCAAGATATAGAAAAAGACGTCGGAACACAATTTTGCAGCACTCGAATACAGCCTTTCTTGCACGAACAAATTTGAAGGCCCCGCGGGTGGTGTCATCGTGTATTCCCGTCGGAGGCAACGCGTTCACAACGAACAAGACGACCAACCGCCCCCCACTTGCTGCTCAAGTTGAATCGTAGTGTACATCGGTATTGCTCGGGCACCGGTCGAGTATTTGTCAGCCGTTTGCATCACGGCCAAACCTCTTGTTTTAGCGTGCGAGTGGCGGATTCTTCACCGGCAACGTCTCCCTGCCCCTCAGATAAGTTTCTTGCGTGACCGTCGGCACCACAGAGCCACAACAACCGGGTACGTTTGCGTGGCGCCGTCCTGATTTTCGTCCCAACGCCAGGCACGCCTCCAGGCGTTCGAAGGGGCGCAAAATCAGGTCCCGGACGAGGCAGGCGCCGCGGAAGCGGCAACAGCAGCAGCCGTCCTGCAGAACCACGTGGTAGGTCGGCGGGATACCTCGGTGTTGGTGGCGGTAGGCATTTCCAGATATTTCCCCAACACTATTTATCCTGTAGCCTGAGGGCAGGGAGAAAACCCGAAACTCGATGGTACATGTTCGCGGATGAGGGACCGCGCCGAAACGGGTTGAGCGCATGCATAAGAACATGTACCAGCGTAAGAACTGACATTCGAAGGGTTGGACTCCCGGACGAACGGCCGAAAGCAAAGACCTGCATGTTTCGCCGAACGACGAAACACAAGAGGTTTTTGAATGTCGAAACTTTACCCAAACGTAGGCGCGGAGGACAACGCACGCCCCTTACCGGTGTGTGTGAGGGACTTGTGTCCGTCGGGATTTGCGGTTCCAGGGCGTCAGCGCCACACACTACGCGTTATTCACTGCCCGTTTTCTACGGAAGACTTGCACGTCCATGCTTTTATTGAGGGTGTATACATTCAGCACGGTCGACGCCAGCCGTGCCGACAAAGCCCTGCCCTTCCACACGAACAATCTACCTCACGCCAGCGATGCTTCCTTCACCGGGTGCGCCACTCCGAAAACTCATCAATCTTTCGCTGGGATTGAAAAGGCATTTCTTACCAGACGACAAAAAATGCCCAAACCTTTGTCCCATTTTGTCTTGTTTCCTTCCCCGACCGCCCGCCGCCGTAGGAGCGCAGCAGGGCGTCGCGGGCGCAGCGCCCGTAGACCTGGGAACCGCGTTTGCTCGCGGCCAGCTCCAGGACGCCTGCGCCAAGGCGGTCTTCGCGCAGCGAGCGCTCGACCCCGAGCACGGTTTGCTGGAGGTTGGACCCGAGCTCGGCGCTGGCGGGCATGGGTCAGATAGTCGGGCACGCGACCCGACACCCGGGGTCCTCTACGCCATGAAGACGGCGCTTCCTGTGAGTATTGGCAGACGGCATGGTGGAGAGCACGCTCACAGAAAAATATAGCACTGCAAAAATACGACTGACGGTTGGATGTAGGCACAGGCGCTTGAACGCGCTTGGCTAAACTGAATACTCGATTTGGCGCGGAATACGGCCGTGTTGCCCCCCCTGCCAACCAAAGTCTCTCACACACGTACCGGCTCCCTAGTCCCTCACCAATCGCCTTCGTGCTGATGATGCTGCGGTTGCCCCCGCCTCTTTCGAACACAATATTTCCGTGCAGGACTCCAGCAAGGTCTGCCTCAGGCAAGAGGCGAGGAACATCATCTGGTGATGCTCTCAACTTTTGCATCGCATTTTTGCTTAGGATAGGTCGTACGTCTTCATGCTGCAGATTCTATGTGCACCACATCGTGAATTGGAACTGTGCGAAGCCCTCAAGCTCCGGCGGCTCTGCTCTCTGAACCCATGTCGTGGCGAAGCGGCAACGCTGGTCATCAGAGCTTTGAACCGGAGTACAGCGCGGGATGTCGGCAGAACAAGGAATGATGTCACTTACCGCGAGCTATCCTGCCCTGAGGGTGGACGGGGGACATGACCGTTATTGATACCCTCGACAGTGTCAAACGCCCGAGATTTCTACAACAGTTGACATTATCTTTCAGGCTATTTCTTCGTCGCCCCCCGACACCCCCATCCTCCCAGCAACACGTGGACCGTATTGGAGTTAGTCCTCGCTTTTCCCGTCATGATCGGAAGTAAAAAACGGTAGTATTCCGTTGTATCAACGGTTCACCCGCGCCGTGCGCGCCGACATGGCAGGCGGAGAGCTGATGGTCAAGACGAAACTCGTCCGAAGGGGCAAACGAACAGACGAGGATCCTTCAAGCATGAGAAGAAATATTGCGTGAATCCACCACGAAAACGTGTATCTAGCTCAGTCCACAGCTGTTTCGCCTCTACCGTACCGGCTATGTGAATGATGCGTGAAAAGGCATCATCCTGCGTTCCGGTTGTGTGTAGGGATGCAAGGGTCCATGATCAGATCACTGCGATAATCACGGCACCAACCCCCCTCCCCCTAGGCACGTGACCCGCGTCTCCCTTTCCCACCATATCCCTCACTTCTCCAGATCCAGGCAAGGACAAACCTCAAAACTGCCGACTGTTCTCTCTGACGCCGCGCCTATGTTTCTACGCACTGACCAAAATTGCTTCAGGTTCGCAGCCCAGATGATGGATGGTATCCGTTTAAAGTGAATCGTCTTGTCGTTGATGTCGACTCAAACACTCGTCCCATCATTTGGTTCACGCGCTCAGCCTCCACCGTTGCCTTTGGATGGTGGAGATGCTGTCATACTTTCAGCACACACGCGGATAAGTGTATGAGCACGAAGAGATTAAAGCAGCATTGTACCCCATTCACCCCGGAGCACCTTGAGCTGCATCTCTCATTGTTGGCGTTCATAATACAGCAACGGAGACAACGAAAGGCTCTGCCAGGGAGACAACGGTAAGGGGTGCTCGCTCACGCCACCGTTGTTGATCCCGCCGACCGCCCTACTGCCACTAGTTCCATGGCTAGTAGAGTACTTAGCGCCGACGCCTCCACGGCGATCTACTAGCTGTTGGTAATTGTAAGTTTGGACTGCGTTTGTGGCGCCGAAGAGCATATTCGTGATGTGATGCAACTAAATACTGCGCAACGTACAACTCGCCAAACCTACCTAACAGTCGTAACAGAATATTTCGGTGCAACCCCGTGTGCACCTGAACAACTCCAACTCGCCCTTCGGCAATAACAGCTGGACCTCATTGAAGAAGCCAATATGCCTACTGCAGCAGGAGATCCAATAACAGTAAACTGCCTTAAACTGATCCGACTTTGTTTTCCCGCTCAGCCGCATTGATTGGCGGATGATGTGGGCTTGAAATATTTTGTTCTTTGTTGTGTTGTTCTGGGACGAAAATGCCACTTACTTGTATTCTTTGTCGTACTCCGCTCCCCCATCCCCAGTGAACAAGGCCGACTGCCGTGCTACTTTCAGTAGAACCAGCGTCGACCCGGCTCGGCAAGAGCGTCCTAATGAACCCACAACGTCGACTACATTGCAGGGATGTCCAGGTAAGCGTGCACGCCACGATAATCACTATTTTCTACGTGTACTATGTACTTTACTTTATTGTTCGCTGCAATCCTTGAAATGAAAATATTATACTTCGTCGTATATAACACTACCGTGGTTCATTTTTCACTTTCTTTGCTCGAACCACGAGGGGGAGAGTGCAAGATATATCGGCACACACGCATGCCCCTCACAATGTTGGCAAACACGATCACGTTGATACAGACAGGCCATTGGGATCTGGCGCTACGTAACACTTCATCGGTACTACAGTTTTGCAGGACCAATGATGTCCAATAATTTTGACATCTCTCGGGAAGCGTTGTGGAAAAGATGAACCAGAGTAGATTACCTAAAGCAATGTCATCGGCAACAGAGAGGAAATTCAATTCAAGCCGATGGCCACTCTGGGGTCGACAGTATCCTCAGTGAACACGAAGATGTACCCAACGCCAAAGTGCCCAGGGCCACCGTGGGTTAAGCCCAATATGCGTGACAGAGGATGCGGTCGCCTCGGCCAGAACTGCAGTGGTACTGGGTGCACGATGTCTACTACACGGTTGGGCAAGTTTCCACCGGTAGTGTCGTCGTCCACCACCTGTCCAGCGAATACAGTACGGTAGTATTTTGCACGGTAGTACTCAGGGTTGGTGGTGCCGACAACGGTGAAATATGATCAAAAGCGGCAGTCGCTCATACCCTGCCATACGGCGTAATACCCGACGTACCCATAGTCGGGCGCGAGCGCGGTGACCCCATCTCGCTTGCGTTCTGTATGAATTTGCATGCAGTCTGCAACTTGTATCATTGGTGGTGCTCCTGCGGTACACAACATAAAGCAGTCTGCCGGTAAGAGCCTGTGGGTTTATCTTTCAACACCAAGCGGACACCGCGGCAAATGTTTAGACTACTCTAGACAATGTTGCTATGCAGAGTTTTTTTTTTTAGCACAACACAGCATGTTCCCCGGCCTCTTCGCTGCACTTGTAGAGCTCGTGAATGGTGCTGGCACGTCCAATTTTGGCACGAGGATGTCATGCCATTGTTTGGGTGGGAAAGGTTGGAAGAATGTACGTACCACCGCGGTTTTAATCGTCAGCCTAGTCTACATGTCTAGTCTATATGCTGTATGGTAGTCGTAATTGTTCTCTTCGCAACTTGGCATGGGTTCCAAAAAAACTTGACAGCACCCACGTACTACTCAGTTCCTGATTCCTGGTTTCATCATTGTGTAGTCTGTATCGACTCGCTCACCACAAAACGCCTACCATGCGGTCGTTGGGCTGATACTCAGCACCTTGTGTACCCTTGAGAGTGCGAGGGTGGGCGGAGGTACCTTAGAAAATTGATACACCTGCGGTAGACTGCTGCCATGGTCTCTGTAGACTACAATAATGTCTGTTGACTCTTTTCGGACGATGCAATACTCGAACATACCAACCCGACAAATAAGCACCTGTGATCACGAGGCGCATTGAGTTGTACTTGTACGGGGTAAAATCTTCAGTTTGTTCAAGATCTACTGTATCTATCTGTTACTTTTGTAGGGGACGGACGATTTACCTCCCATGAAAAAGTCGCATCTTCACGCACGGCATAATGTAGACAGACACAAATACACGACGCTCGGATATATTTTTCCTTTGCCCGTGCTTGGTGGGTACTCGCGTACACAGGTGGCCAGTGGGCACGGTTGTACAGGGGCGTTGTGTTACCTCCGGCCAACCAGGGGTCATTACATAACCGGTCGCCTCGGTGGTCTAGTGGGTAGCCTCGCAGCCTGCTAAGGGCCAGGTCATGGGCTCGAGTCCCGGCAAAGAGAGTTTTTTTCTCACTAAATAAATCCTGGTCTAGGATGAAAGCGACGTGCTGCAAAGCTCGTTTGTTAGTAAACCATAATAGACTTCGTAAGTCGCGAGGGAAGGGATTGCTGTACCCTTCTCGCGATAAAAATACCTCAGGGATGAACCGCAGGAGGGGGTCCAACCCCCCCCTCCTATGTGACCCCGGTTGGGTCGTCTAGCTAGTAGAAGTGGAGGATAGGGGCCAGAGGGGCAGACGACAGAGTCCAATCAATGATCGGAGAAAAACAAACAAAAAACATGGGAATCTCCCTTCTTCCCCTCGCTCCTCGACAAGCTTTTGCTTAGACATGGGTTGTAGTGAAGGGGGGGGT